AAAACGCATATATTGCTGATTGTGGACTTGAGTAATTATATCTCTCAGTTACTACGTACGTTGTGATTGGTCAATTTAGCGGGCCGTATTCTACTGTACGGCCCGTCAAAATTTAAAGCTGTTTTTTTTTTCTTTCCAAATATTTCGTGATTTATCGTCTGTTCTTAAATTTTATAGCAAGTAGAAGTTTAAAACTTTCCTTTACTTTAAATTGTGTATATTAAAACGTACTGACGAGTTAACAACGATTTCAAATTGACTCGTTTTGCTTTCGACGAACGTCACGGTCAGAAATTTGAAGCCGTTCCGCGTGAATAGAAATCGTTCCCGAACCCGTAAGACACACAGTAGAGATATAATAAATATCTTACTAACTTGGTCTTCTCGATCCGTACTGTAAGTGACGGATCCTCGTTTTTTTCCCCTTCGATTTATGGTCCAAGCGCTTGGGCCATAAATCGAAGGAAAAAAAACTCGGTCCGTCACTTACAATACGGACCGAGAAGACGAAGTTAATTAGAGGTATGTCATTGATCATAGATTTATAACGTCTTGTTTCGCTATCGTTCCAGGTGACCCCGCGGGTTGTGGATTCCGTGATGTCCCAGAGTTCCTCGCAGCCTGTTGGCGTGGTCGCTCAGGGTGTTAGTAATTTGTCCTAGTCGCCGTTTTGATACTTTCCGTTTTCTTTTTTGTACAAAAGAGGTATATTTTGTATATTGAACAGAGCGTTAAATTTGAGCGTAAATTTGAATCTCATGCGACCTGTATGATATTTAATTTAGTTAGTGCAATGTTATATTTCGTGTTTTTGCGCCGTGAATCTGGACATAATTCCGGGACTTTTTACTTCGCATTCTGATGAGGTAGTCCATTATTCTAGTTACGATTTTGGCTCTCATTAACTGCTAACAAACGATTCGCAAAGCTTATTTTGTACATTGTATGACACATCCCGTCACATTCTCAAGTAATAATATATTTTAATCTCTGGGATTTAACTGCAATCGCGAATTTCTATGCTATTTACATTGACTGTTGCGTGACTTTGTGGGATCGAAATTGTAGAGCGTGACATCACGCCATACGATATGGCGCAAAGTGTCTCCTCTTGTGTTTTGCAAACATAAAATTCTCCGCTTGTTTGTGATTTATTTCTCTACTCTTTTTATTCTCGCTCGATTTATGAGTTAGAAGTTCGTCGTTGTACGGTGGTTTATTTTTTTACCGCCTCTTTTTCGCATCTGATTGTTTTAGTTGAAGACAAATTGGGAGGTTTGTGGACTAACAAACCTCTTAGTGCATTTCATGTTTGAATTTGATAATTTAGGGAAGTACTGAAATGTCAAGGTAATAAACTTCTTTCAATTGTGGGAGTGGAAATGACTCATCCCGCCTGTAAATTGTATTTTTGGCCCAACTTAAATTGTTATCGTTCGTATAAAGCAAATTGTAAGAATATTTTGCCAGCTGTAATTTTAACTCCTAACTGATTTCCATGCGCTACTTCATGTTAGACACCCTTGATGTATCCTTGCACTGTGTTCTCGTTTGTAAATATATGTAATATTTTGCACGCTTTTAAGAATTGTCCTACACAATCGTCCCTTAACGTTGTAAGATTCTGCCATTGTGTTTTAACCATGATGTGATAAGTGTGTCAATAATGAATTGTGGCCTTTGTATTTCTTAATTGGGTGCCATTCTTCGTGAAATGAAGCAATCAATAGGTGTTATACAACAAAGAATTTTAAATCACTCTTAGTTCTATCATCATTTCTTCATGAGGCTTCTAACGAAAGCTACATGAAGATGGTAAAGAGTGGCAGTCTGTCATAAGGCTAACGTGGTTTGTGTTGTTATCGCTTTTAAATCCACGTTATGACAATTAATAATTTAGCTTAAGGCTTTTGAAGCTGAAATATTGAAATTGAAATTATGAAACGTAAAATTGCGCCGGAAAATGCGTGCAGTCATTTTAGGAAATTGTTAGG